AGTCTGGAATGGATTCCCAAAGGTCCGGAATGGATCCTTGGCATCAGGAATGGATTTCAGGGTCAGGAATGGATTCCCAGAGTCTGGAATGGATTTGAAGGGTCTGGAATGGATTCCCAATGGTCTGGAATGGATTCCCAAAGGTCCAGAATGGATTCCCAAAGGTCAGGAATGGATTCCCAGAGTCTGGAATGGATTTTGGGGTCAGGAATGGATTCCCAATGGTCTGGGGTGGATTCCCGAGGGTCTGGAATGGATTCCCAATAGTCTGGAATGGATTTGAAGGGTCCGGAATGGATTCCCAATGGTCTGGAATGGATTTCGGGGTCAGGAATGGATTCCCAGAGTCTGGAATGGATTCTGGGGCCAGGAATGGATTCCCGAGGGTCAGGAATGGATTCCCAGAGTCTGGAATGGATTTCAGGGTCTGGAATGGATTTGGGGGGTCCGGAATGGATTTCAGGGTCAGCAATGGATTCCCAAGGGTCCGGAATGGATTCCCGAGGGTCAGGAATGGATTCCCAAAGGTCCGGAATGGATTCCCAAAGGTCCGGAATGGATTTCAGGGTCAGGAATGGATTCCCAAAGGTCCAGAATGGATTCCCAATGGTCAGGAATGGATTTTGGGTGGTCAGGAATGGATTCCCAGAGTCTGGAATGGATTTCAGGGTCAGGAATGGATTCCCAAGGGTCAGCAATGGATTCCCAGAGGTCTGGGATGGATTTTGGGGTCAGCAATGGATTCCCAAAGGTAGGGAATGGATTTTGGGTGGTCAGGAATGGATTCCCAAAGGTCTGGAATGGATTCCCAAAGGTCAGGAATGGATTCCCAGAGTCTGGAATGGATTTTGGGGTAAGGAATGGATTCCCAAAGGTCCGGAATGGATTTTGGGTGGTCAGGAATGGATTTGGGGGTCCGGAATGGATTCCCAAAGGTCCGGAATGGATTTTGGGGGTCCAGAATGGATTTTGGGGTCAGGAATGGATTCCCAAAGGTCCAGAATGGATTTCAGGGTCAGGAATGGATTCCCAAAGGTCCGGAATGGATTCCCGTGGGTCAGGAATGGATTCCTGTGGGTCAGGAATGGATTTGGGGGGTCCGGAATGGATTTTGGGAGTCAGGAATGGATTCCCAAAGGTCCGGAATGGATTTTGGGTGGTCAGGAATGGATTTGGGGGTCTGGAATGGATTCCCAAAGGTCTGGAATGGATTTTGGGTGGTCAGGAATGGATTCCCAAATGTCCGGAATGGATTTTGGGTGGTCAGGAATGGATTCCCAAAGGTCCGGAATGGATTCCCAAAGGTCCGGAATGGATTCCTGAGGGTCTGGAATGGATTCCCAAAGGTCCGGAATGGATTTTGGGTGGTAGGAATGGATTTGGGGGTCCGGAATGGATTCTTGAGGGTCAGGAATGGATTCCCAAAGGTCCGGAATGGATTTGGGGGTCAGAAATGGATTCCCAAAGGTCCGGAATGGATTTTGGGGTCAGGAATGGATTCCTGTGGGTCAGGAGTGGATTCCCAAAGGTCCAGAATGGATTCCCGAGGGTCTGGAATGGATTCCCAAAGGTCCGGATGGATTTTGGGGGGGTCAGGATTGGATTTGGGGGTCCGGAATGGATTTTGGGGATCAGGAATGGATTTGGGGGTCCGGAATGGATTCCCAAAGGTCCGGAATGGATTTTGGGGGGTCAGGAATGGATTCCCAGGGTCGGGGGTTCCCCCACAGCTCCATGGCCACGGGGACGCCCCCTCGAGTCCTTTCCCCTCCTGTCCCGGTTCCGGAAGGTTCCCGGTTCCAAAGGGCTCCAGTTCAGAAGGGTCCAACCCAGAAGGGTCCCGGTTCTGGAAAGGTCCCGGTTCTGGCTCCGGAAGGGTCCCAGTTCTGGAAGGTTCCAGGTTCTGGAATGGTCCCGGTTCCAGAGGGTTCTGGAAGGTTCCTGGTCCCAGTTCTGACTCTAGAAAGGTCCCAGTTCCGGTGGTTTCCTGGTTCCGGTTGTTTCCAGTCCCAGTTCTGATCCTGGTCCCAGTTCCAGAGTTTTTCTGGTTCCAGTCCCAATTCCAGTTCTAGAGGGCTCCGGTTCCAGTTAGTGTCCTGGTTCCAGTCCTGGTTTTGTTGTTTCCCAGTCCCAGTTCTGGTCCCAGTTCCAGTTTCAGTCCCGGTTCTGGAGGGCTCCAGTTCCAGTTAGTGTCCTGGTTCCAGTCCTGGTTTTGTTGTTTCCCGGTCCCAGTTCCAGTCCCAGTCCTGGTTCCAGAGCTTACCTGGTCCCAGTCCCAGTCCTGGTTCCGGTTCCAGTTTCAGTCCCGGTTCTGGAGGGCTCCGGTTCCAGTTAGTGTCCCAGTTCCAGTCCTGGTTTTGTTGTTTCTCAGTCCCAGTTCTGGTCCCGGTTCCAGTTCCAGAAATTTCCCTGTTCTGGAGTTCTCCTGGTCCAGGTCCTGGTTCTGATCCCGGTTCCAGATCCGGTTCTGGACCCAGTTCCAGTCCTGGTTTTGTTGTTTCCCAGTCCTGGTTCTGGTCCCAATTCCGGTTCCGGTTCCGGTCTCAGTTCAGGTTCCAGTTCCAGTTCCAGTCCTGGTTCTGGAAGTTTCCCTATCCCGGTTCAGGTCCAGTTCCGGTTCCGGAACTTTCCCAGTCCCAGTTTCAATTCTGGTTCCGGTTCTGGTCTCAGTTCAGGTTCTGATCCCAGTTCCAGTTCCGGTTCCAGAACTTTCCCAGTCCCGGTCCCGGTTTCAATTCCGGTTCCGGTTTTTCCTAGCCCAGGTGCAGCCGCTGGTGCCGGATGAGGGCGGAGCTTCCCCCGAATCCCTTCCCACAATCCCCGCAGGTGTAGGGCGTGGCACAGGTGACGGGCGTGGCACAGGTGATGG